GACAGAGAAGGGAGACGTAGCGGGGGCGACGGCGGGCTGGCAATCGGAGGAAGAGGGTAACGGGGGAAAGAGAGAAGCTAGGGAGGGGAAGAGGGGGCGGTGGGATAGGAAGAGGCGGCTCTGACGCCGACGACCCATCACTTCGCAGATTGCGAGAATACAGATCAAGAGAGAAAGAGATCGCCGTCTACAGCAGTGGTGGCTAGGATTAGGATTTAGATGTTGTGTATTCAAATAAGGTGTGTACTGATATTCTGTTGGGGTTATTTTAGTCATTTGAGGTAAGATTATTATTGTTGTAAAAAATAATTAATTAATAATATGTCTTGAGACAAAATATGGTGTGTAAATAGAAGCACTCGAAAATAATCTTCATGAAAGTCATGTAATTTTCTTGCCTATAGGCCCTTTTTTTTTTCTCTCTGTTTTTTTTTTTTTTTTTTCTGATTAATCAATCTTATAAATACCATGCATGTGCTTGCTTTCATTTTTCAATTTTGCCAATGAAAAGGATGTAATTTTCTTGCATAGTCTTTTGGCTTCTTTTGGGAGTTTACTAAATTGTTCGTTTATTGGTTAGAAATAAATTAATAAAAAAAAATTAATGCTAAAAACAGTTAATTCGTTTGGGAGATTTATAGCATTTTTGAATTTTCTATTGATTTTTTAAATTATTAGTGGTTGGCACACGTGATACATGTACAATTTAAGTAAGGAAAGATAAAAATAGAAATAAAAAATTAATATCACAATGTGTGTGCGCTGCTCAAGTGATAATAGTCTCATATCTTAGATCTAAGGTCTTGATTTTAAGTTTTGGTTCTTTTTTCCTTTTTTTTTTCTTTTTAAAAATAAAAAATAAAGAAATCCAAGTGCCACGTGGCATAAAAAAATAAAGGTTTTAGAATATCAAGTTCAACCTTTGCATTATACAATAACTAGTGGTCACTCGTGCGATGCACAAATTTTTAGAAAGTCAATAATTACTCAAAAAAAAATTTGCTATTTGTTTATATTTCTTAACATTTTTATTTGGTTTGTGTATATAAATCTTACTTCACATCATTAAAAATATTTAATATTTCACATTATTGAAAATTTTAAAAAACTATCATACATTAGTAAATCATCATCACACATATAATAGCTAATTTATCTAAGAATTACTTCAGACAACCAAAAATAGAGTAATAAAGGCATATTATAATTAATCAAAATGACTAATATATTAAATTTAAGTAAAACTAATTTTACTTAATCAATAGTAGATATTACATTAATCATCTCATATAATATAATAAATTAAAATAAAATTAATTTTAATTCCCACTATATTTAGTTAGTAGTTAAAATTTTTTACATACTATTTGTTTTTTCGTTATATTGATTCATTAAACACAAATAGGTTTGGAATGATTATAAAAAAAAATTTAAAAAAAAATGTTTGAAAATGCATTATACTTGAATTGACAAACATAAAGAATAGAAATATTTAAATTATTCAAAAAAAAATTAACATTTTAAATATGAGATATCTTCCATTTGCTCAAACTTTGAATCTAAATAAATAAATAAATAATTTAAACAAAGAAGAAATTTGTGATTTAGTTCTCAAAGGAAATGAGTTACTAAAAATAAATTTAACCATGAATTATTTCAATAGGATAATCAATAATAAAAAATCAACTGATAAATACATTTAAAGTATAACCCATATCAAATAAATTTTGATGTGTTCTTCATTTTCAATCTAACATCTACACCAAAAAAAAAAAAATTAAACACAAATAATCAATAAGTGAGAGAGTTACAAATTAATAATTGCAGTGCTTTTATAAATATAAAAAAAGAATAAAATCTCAATTAAATGACACATTATTAACAAAAAGAAAGAAATAAGAAAAAATACATATTGTAACCAAAAAAAAATTAAAAATAATAATAATGTTCATTTATATTAACTCACTTTCATACAAATGTAAAAACTCATGCAAGTACACATTTTAAATGTAAAGCAAATATTTAAGATTTTTAGGCACCGAAAAGAGATCATAAATGGCTCAATGTTGATCGTTTTTCCCCCAATTTTCTATTCATGGTTTCTTTTATAGGAACTTGTTTTTATATTAAAAAAATTATGCTTAAACAAAAGATATATATGGAATTCTATCATGTTTAAAATTTGTATGGATAAATAATTGATGATTTTAAAAGATAAAATATTAAGTTCTACTTAAAGATAAACTTTAAAAAGACTAAGTTGAAATATATATAAATTCTATAACAAACTAACAAAAGATAAATATAGATCGTTAAAAAAATTATCATCTTTTTGGGATATTTTATATCCCAATCTTATTTTTTTTATTTAAATATTTTGTTATCTTTTATTTGAATTTTCATTAAATAGTTATATTTTTATTTTTGTATATTTTTTCATCTACATTTATTTGTTATTCATATATACATAATTACCTTTTTATTTTAAAAATCATTTGACCCGTAATTTTTTTTATTTAAATTTTTTTAATTGTTCATATATAAATAGTTAACTTTTTATTTTTATAATTAATTGACTTGTAATATTTTTTTGTGATAAAATATTAAGTTTCACTTAAAGATAAACTTTAAAAAGATTAAGTTGAAATATATAGAAATTCTATAACAAATTAACAAAAGATAAATATAGATCGTTAAAAAAATTATCATCTTTTTAGGATATTTATATCCCAATCTTATTCTTTTTTTTATTTAAATATTTTGTTATCTTTTATTTGAATTTTCATTAAATAGTTATATTTTTATTTTTGTATATTTTTTCATCTATATTTATTTGTTATTCATATATACATAATTACCTTTTTATTTTAAAAATCATTTGACTCGTAATATTTTTTTATTTAAATTTTTTTTAATTGTTCATATATAAATAGTTAACTTTTTATTTTTATAATTAATTGACTCGTAATATTTTTTATTTAGTTATTTTTTTTATCTTTTATTTGACTCTTTATATTATTTTGTAGTTGAAATTTGAGTAGTTATCTTTTTATTTTATTTATTTTATATTTTTATCTCTACCTCTTTGCTGTTCATATTTAAATATTTATCATTTTATTTAAATATATATAATCCTTTTGACTTTTGAGATTTAGATAATTAACAAATGATTAAAAATTAGAAAAAGTGGGAAGGGAGACTTGAGAAGTGACACGTAGAAGAGAGAATCCATAAGAATTTAGTATTAAGAGTTTGGAGAATTTTCATACTCCACTACATTTGTTTATATATATAGTATAGATAGATACAGATTGTACATATTGATTAAAATTATTATCATTATCTTTAAAATTTGTTTAAAATATGATTTCTTGCTATGGTTATGATAATTACAATTGCCTGTATCAAATGTGAGGAAGTTACTTTATTACCCACCAATATTAGCACAAAATTACCCAATCATACCCTTCTTCATTTACATATCAAACCCAACCACCCCCACCAAATCTTCCTTTTACATTCGTCCTTCCCTTGCCATTGTTCACCAACTACCACCACCAACCATCACTCTTCACTCTTCCCACGACACCAACATGGCTAACGTACGTAGCCATGATTTCAGCTCAGTAGGGTAATTTAATACGTATCATTAGTATTATTAGAGCATCTCCAATGGTTTGCCATTGGAGCTGCCATTGCTATATATAGCAGCTGCCATTGAATTTTGATACTCCAATGGCAAAGCATAGCAGCTGCTAAATTTGAGAAATGCCAAAACTTGTGTCAAATTTGACACAAGCTTTGGCAGCTGCCATTCATGCCAACTCAGCCAAAACCAACGGTTTCCCTCACTCCCTCCTTCCTTCCCTCCCTCCCTTCATGCCAACTCAGCCAATTCATCAAACAGATTCACAAATTCACAGAAAAAATTTATTATTTGTTTGTCAATTTGATTCATCAAACAGATTCACAAAAAAAAACAAATCCAAAAAAATTACAGATTCATAGATTCATCAAACAGATTCATCAAACAAATTCAAACAAATCCAAATCCAAAAAAATTACAGATTCATCAAACAGATTCACAGAAAAAAAAAACTGATTAATTCACAAAAAATTGAATTGATGAATTAAAAAACTAGTCAATCTGTTTAAGAAGATTGGGGTAGAGATGAATGAAATGAAAACAAAAATTAAGGAAGATCGGGCATCTCTACACTGATCTCAAGCCCACAGATCAACAAAGGGAGATCGGGCATCTCTACATTAGAAAGAAACCCAAAGATCAGATTGAACTATCCACCACGCACGCACGTAATTTCCACTCCCAATCCTTTTAATCCTAATTATCCTGCAACAAAACAATCTGATTGATCGTATCTTTCCTATTTCAAGGCAACCAAACGTGGCCTTATCGCAAAGGCATCCAATCCAAACACAAAAATCGGCCACCTAATAAACAAAAATCTTCCTTAATTTTTGGATTAACTACTCTGAGATCAGTGGAAGATCGGGAATGGAAAAAAATTATAGATCAGTGAAGATCTGTTTCACTACACCGTACATCCAAAAAAAAATTAGTGAAGAAAAATACATACACCGTACATCCAAAAAAATCTGTTTCACTACTCTGCTGGAAGATCGGGCTTGAGATCAGTGGAGAGATCAGTGAAGATCTGTGAAGATCAGTGAAGATCGGGACCGAGATCAGTGAAGATCTGTGAGGATCTGTTTCACTACTCTGGAAGATCAGTGAAGATCGGGACCAAGATCAGTGAAGATTTGGAAGATTTGAGGAGAGGAGATGAGAAAAGAGGAGAGAAAGATGAAGATTGGTGAGGCCAATGAAGGAAGGCAGAGAGAGAGAGAGAGAGAGCTTGGTGTATAGATAGATAGATAGATAGATTCGACTCACAGGAGGGCATATAGATAGATAGATAATGCACGGTTGTTCTACATAGATGGATGGCTGAGCCGTTGGATCATATAATCCAACGGTGCTATTTTGTGAAAGGAATGCACATGGGTTTGAGCAACGGCTCTTTTTCATCTTTTTTCAAACAACAGCTATAAATTAACGGGCATTTTTTTCAAACGGTCATATTCTGTATTTCTATAAATAAAAACTCTTCATCTCAATTTCATTTCACACCAAACATTTTAAATTTTATTTTTCTTTTCTCTTCTCTTTATCTGAATTTTATTTCACACCAAACTTCACAAATTATTTTCTTCTTTGTTTTTTCACACAATCACTATGGAAGGTTCATCAAAAATGAAGAGAGGAAAATCATTTACCACTCAAGAAGATGTGGCAATTTGTAGAGCTTGGTGTCACATTACTGAAGACCCAATTGTTGGAAATTCACAATCTCATGCTCATTTTTGGGGAAGAATTTTTGAAAATTATTGTTCATTGCAGAATGATCGCTCAAGAACACAAGTGTCTATCTCATCTCGATGGGGTGTAATCATGAAATGTTGTAACAAATTTCGTGGGTGTCTAGCGCAAGTCGAAAATCTACATCCAAGTGGGGCGTCACAAGTTGATATAGTAAGATTTCATTTCCATTTATTATGTTAGTTTTTTTATTTGTCTTACATAAAAATTAACTGATTAATTAATTTAATATTTTATTGATATAGATGCTTCAAGCAAAACTGTTATACCATCAAGATGAAAACAAGCATTTTCTTTTTGAACATTGTTGGCCAATCTTGCAAAACAATATCAGGTGGCAAGATGTAACTCCTACGAACACGGTGAAGTCAAGAATACATACACCGTTTTCCCCTAATTCAACCCCTGATTCCCCTATGGATAACTGCATTTCTCTTGAAGATGACACTAGTCCAAGTGTTGGTAACAATCCAACTGTCGATGAGGGCAGTGTCTCTGAAAGGGGTAAAAGGCCGATGGGTAGAAAATCTGCAAAAGAATTATTTCGGAAAAATCAAGTCGCTCAAGCTGAAGTTCAAAAAATGGGCACACAATTGGACACATTTAACCAATACCTTGCTGAGAAGGAAAAGAAAAAAGATGAAAGAGAACAAAAAAGGATTGAAGCACTGCAGGAGATGAAAGAACTTGAGATGAAAAAACATGAATTTGAGATCAGAAAACAAGAACATGAGATGAAAAAGGAAGAACATATGATAATGACTACGGATATTTCTCATTTGGACCCTCAGATGAAAGCGTATTACACAATGCGAAAAAATGAGATTTTCGCCAAGTGGTCCTCAAATGTGAGCAGCCCAAATTTTTATTTCCCCCTACCTCCTGATGAATAATTACGAGATAAATGCTAGTCTTTATTTTTTGCAATATCATTTATTTTTTAATGTAATTTTTAGTCTTTATTTGCAATGTAATTTTTATTTTGTAATGAAATTTCTTTTTTTTTTTTTTGAGTATTTTGTACTTCACAATGTAATATTATTTTTTCAATGTATAATGTCCACTAATTTGTATTATAATTTAATATTTTCAATAAAGTATAATGCAAAAAAATAAATATATTTTTTCAAATGAAGGCAATAAAAAGATAAAATACTTTAGCTGATATTAAATGAAGATAATTTTATTATAATAAAAAGACATTATAATATAAATATATAATTTTTTTTTCAATTTTTCATTGTTTTATATTTGTCTAGTTGGGAAAAATATAAATATATAATTTTTTTAACAAACAGGTAAAAAAATGTCACAAAAGACAAAAAATAAACAAAAATAAAATCACAAAAAACCTAGATCCAAACAATACCTACAACCTTGGAGGGAAAGTTGGTTGAGATTTGTCAAAAATAGCAAATGATCATTGGAGCACTATTGCTATAATTTGGCAAAATAACACTATTCATTGTCAAATTATAGCAATAGCAATAGCAAAATAGTAATAACCATTGGAGATGCTCTTAGGTTAGATTTAGGTTCTATGCAATCTATTCAAAATCAACTTTTGCATTAACACTATAATTTTATATATTTCCAATTGCATTCGCAAAAGTTATTTAAAATTGTTACAGTCACTATAAAAAAAAATTAAAGGTTTTAAAAATCAAAATTTAGGAACAAAATTATTTTTTAAAGACCAAATATTTTTATTGCGAAACGTGTCGTCATTATATTTTTAGCAACAAAAATTAGACATTAGTGATTGATGATACTGTTTGGGATGGTAGAACGGGTCGGACTGATCCACGCTCCTTAAACCTATGTCCGAATGACCAAGCCCACCTGAAGACCTGCACAAGAGTTCAACGGGGAACGTGGAGTCCACCAGCGAACCCTCCGACGAGCAAATTAGAGAGAGAAGTGAAGTGTAGAGATGGAATAGAGATAGAAAAGCTTAACCTTCTATATGTCTTCGACGTCTGCTTATATCCTTTGGTAATCATTACGTTGTCTCTTCCGACTTGTCACTTTGGCCGAAAGTCTATGCTGTAACTTACCTTGTTCAGGGTGAGGGCGTGCTGTCCCGATGGAGAGGGGTTATCGCAATAAATGCTGTAAGGGGGCCTCATTAATGGCAATGTGCAGTGACAATAACTTTGCAGATCTTTGTCTACTAATGTGGCTTGTCCTTTTCTTGCCATGTGTCTTGATGTCATTGGTTCTAATTGCTACATGAGGCTTCGGCAGTGTCGGGCTTCAACATTTGAGATATGTGTTGGGTCCTGAATGCTGGGCTCTAATCATTATGGGCTTACCCATGTCAGTAGTCCTCCATTCCTGAATGCAGCTTTAGTCCAACGAATGGAATATTGAAGAGAATAAGGGCTGTGAAAGACCGGCAGGGTGAAGGCCGACCGAGCTGGGTGACCGACCGTGAGGAGGGCCGACCACGAAGGGTGGCCGAGTGGGGGGACCGACCATGCGGAAGGCCGATCGCGAAGGGTGGCCAAGTGGAGGGACCGACCATGCTGAAGGCCGATTGCGAAGGGTGGCCGAGTGGTATGGTGCGGGGCTCGAGAGGTGGTGGGGCACGTGTTGAAGTGAAGTGGAATAGACAGAGAAGGGGAAAGGGGCAGTGGATCGTGGCCGTACACGTAGCAAAATCTTGTAGTGGGGGATGTTAGGCGTTGGGCGATAGGTGAAACGATAGGTCATTATAGGGTATTGAAAAGACAGTCGTGGCAGAATTTTGAAAATTTTCAAACTGGCGAGAATTAATTGTAACCCTTGGAATACAGGCAAGCCGTGGGCCTTTGGTATTATCTGCTTTACATACCTTTTTGTAAAAAATCAAAACATTCCAAGTGTAAACTCCTTCGTTGCTAGCGATACACCTCTGCAACACTTTTTGAATTTTCTTATGCCCGCATCCGAAGCCATTCGCAGACACACGACAGAAATAGCCCAGGAAGAAGCTAGAACTGCCAGGGTTGAACCACTAGGGGACGACGATGTGGTGGAGTTGGCGGAGCAGTACAGGATGAAGAGGCAAGTGGAGAGAGTAGGGGAGCCGGCGGGACCACCACGTTCGTTGACAATGATAGCGGCTCCAAAGCCAATCAACCAGGCTGAGCCAGATCACTGGCATACGAAGGTCAATAAGTCGATCGTGACTGCGGGGGCGTTGGAGGGTATGCGCAAAAAATACCAGGTTCCCGCAGAAATAGAATTGATGCTACCAACACCAAAGGAGAGGCCGTCCGACGCCCGGCCGGGGGAGTTTGCCCTCTACGAGGAGGTGTTGAAGGGTGGGTTGAGGTTGCCGCTTCCGCAGGTAGTAGTGGATGTCTTAAACCGACTGGAAGTGGCGCCAGGCTAACTAATGCCCAATGCGTGGAAGATTGTATTAGCCTGTGCAAGTGCGTGGCCGAGGGCGAACGAGGGGGTGGCTATGATAGTGGACGAGTTTTTTGCCTGCTACAAGGCCTCGGGCCAGCAAGAAACTTGGGTCACTTTGCAAGCGGTGGTAGGGAGGGGACTGGTGGCGGGGTTGCCGTCATCAATTAAGGGATGGAGGCCGCGGTGTTTCTACGTGTCTGCGAACGGGGGAGTGGGAGTGTGCACGGTGTGGAGAGTGCCCACCAAGTTTGTGGAGCCAAAGCTGGGGGCCGCAGCGAAGGAGAGGGTGAAAAAAATAAAGGCATGGAGGGAGAAGGAGGGCGTCAAATGGGACGATCTCGTCTAGCCGTCCGCTTTGTTCGCCGCAGGACTGGGCCCTCAGCCGACCGGTGGAAATCTGGCACCGGCAGAACTAGAGGCGAGAGGGAAGGCGCAAGAGGCGGAGGATCAGACCATTTTTGCCAAAGCCCAAAAGTTCAAAAAAATGTAGTTAGGTCCGCCACCAAAACCGGTCGTGAGGGAAAGAATCCGACCGCATCCCAAGCCGCTGGGGGAAAAAGACTTGGGCAGTTCTGAGCCGCGACCGACCCCGGTTGATCCGGTGAAGGAGAGGGCAAACAAGGAGGGAAAGGCTCTGAAGAAGAAGATGAGGGTTACCCCTGAAGGGGTCTCAGATGTGCCTGGGTCGAAGAGGATGAGGGTTGGCGGGGAGGTTACCCCCATAGCGAAGGAGGCATGGGAGAAGGGAGTGGGGGTGACCTCAGAAAGGATGGTTGCCCCAGAAGTGCAAAGGGACGATGGTCAGGGGGCCCAGGAGGAAGAAACGCACATGAGTGCCATGCCCAAGATGCCAGTGGAGAGTGGGTCAGCCAACATTGAGGAGGTGATGGAGCAGCAGCCTAAGGGGGGGCCTGCGCCCCAAAGAGAGGTGGTCAGGCTGAAGCATGCCATCTATCACGCCCCCATAGTGGCTGGGCGACTGGAGGGAGAAGAAGGCCCAGCCAGGACAGCGGCAGATCTTCTCTTGGGGGTAGTGGATGAAGCAGCCGTGAGCTTTACCACCAGGTTCAATGAGGCTGAGCTGCTAAGGGGGCTGTGCTCTACCCAAATGGAGGCGACCACTCTAGCAAGGGCTCTGCTGAGAAAGGCGGCAGCTGCAAAAGGTGAAGTGAAGCCTCTGAAGGCCAAGTTAGAGGAGGCAAAGGCCCAACTTGAGAGTTTGAGGAGTGAAACTACGGGGTGGAGGAGGCCCGCACGAAGCGTTTGCGCTAGGGGGTTGGAAGAGGCTCAGAAGGCGAAGAAAATAGAGGTGTTGGCGATCGTACAGGGCAATGTTGCCGCTCGAGCCCATGCTAAGTTGCTCGCGGTTAAGTTGGAGCTGGAGGATGAACGCCGCAAGGTAGTGTCGCTCGAGTTCCAGCTGGCTGGTGAGCAGAAGAAGTTGGGGGATGCTCAAAATGTTTGCACGGTTGCCACCGAGCAGTTTGAAGAGGCTATGACCAGCAATGAAGAACTAGGCACCCAGCAAATCAAAGAAAAGGATGAAGCAGACCCAAAGATTGCTGGGCTGCAGAAGGAGCTGGAAGATGAGCGCGCTAGGGCAATGGAGGAGAATGCGAGGTTGGAGAAGGAGTTGGAGGAAGAAAAAACTAAGGCAGCCTCTGAAAGGGCAGCATACCCCAACTTGTACGTCGCAGCAGTAGAGCAGTTCAAGGGGTCTGCTGACTTCCAGATGGCGATCGATGCCGCGGTCGCCAACAACTTGGCAAGAGAGGGGGCTGGGGGGGCTGGCCCGTCGGGAGCGACCACTGGGGGTAGGAGTGAAGCAGAAGTGATCCAGAGCTTCCAACGGTCGGACTTCTACAAGCACGAAATGGCTAAGTTCTGGGACAGCGGGTGGAAAATGTTCAAGCGTAAAATGGAAGAGCTGTTCCCAGAATTATACTTGAGCGGTGTCAAGATTGATGATGATGACGTGGCCCAAACCCCCCTAGACGAGGGCATTGAAGAAGAAGACCTTGTGTCAAGTGAGGAAGAATGATGGAAGTGGACAAAATTTGTACTTAGAGTTTGTTTTTTTTTTTTTTGTTGGCTATAATAAACTTATGTATAAGGTGTGAATGAATAAAATTATGAGCTATATTTGTGTTTATCTGAAATGAATTGTTAAATTGCTGTCTTCATTTTTGTGAGTCTGAAATGAATGAAGAATGGTTTATTGAAACTAGGCTTGACTTGTAAGGAAAGAGGCTAACTTGCAAAAGTTCATAAGAAAGAAAACAATCTAACTTGTAAAGGAGACATGTAAGAATGTCAAAAATGTGAAGTTTGAAATTACGCCCAAAAATATTTTGCAAGAGTGTTGAGAAATGATAGGTTGGTTTGGGAAATGCAAGTCAAAAAGTAAAAACGTAAAGAGTGTCGTAGGAACATGGACCTGGAATTTGACTAAGTATAGTTAGTATGCCACAACCATGAAGTTTACGTGAATGTC